TGTTACTCCAATTAGATTTATTACATTTGATGGAAAGACCAGTGTAATTAACAGTGAAAGACTATGAAAAGGGCCTTATTTCTTCACCAAACAAAGAAAGATGCAGAACTTGTGTGTTACAATATGTGCAATAAATACTGAAGATTGTGCCCTGAAAAATTCTCTGTTCTTGGCTTTCATCATTTTGTAGGGTATAATTAAGTTGGTCAACTTAGTATGTATATAAGAATCTTCAGCTGCAGCAAATTAATCTCATGTAATTAAGACACTGCAGTGGAAATCAGTTGTCTGTTGAATAGTTTGAGAATTTATTTGTATCTCCTCCATGCAGTTTCTAGTAAAAAAGCCTCTGGGTCAAATACTGCCCACCTCAAATACCAGTCAAAGAAGAACTCTTGATTGTTTTAATTAGCATATTTCTTTTCCTTGCTGATTCTTCAGTAGAATACACTGAAGGATGGCTATATCCATTGTTCATTAGAAACCCCATGACAATTATGGGGGAGATTGTCAAAGACACAAAGAGCAGTTAGATGACCAACTCTCATTGAAAGTCAATAGTAGTCTAAGAAAAAGTGGTTGTACCACATGGATCTCAACACTATTATTTTTAATAATCTAATTATGGCCTTAGAACCCTGAAAATTTCCTGGTTGTTTTGTGATGCTATTTTAAAATCAGTAATTCCTATCATATTAATCAGTAGTTTTTGTTGTTTTTAAATGTGTAAATGCTTCTCTTTGGAGTCTAGAAACTTTAGGAGTCGTTGCCAGTCACTGTTATGAGGATCTTCAAAACTGGAAAAAGTTTACTTAAAATTCTCTATAGAGACAGTAATACATTATTCCTTATTAACAGTTATTAGCATGGTTATTTTACTGGATCTGTGTGCAGTGTACCAGCTGGCAGGATCACTAAAAGCTAAATGCCAAGCAAAGTGAATGTTCCAATTTTTGACTGGGCCAAACAATGCCCTAACTTACCTACTACATTCCAAGATATGCCTTCCTGAATTATCTTTGCTGAAATACATAATCTCCTCTTTGCAAGGTCCTTTTTAAGAAGTCAGGAGATAAATGTCATAATGAGAAAACATTTAGTGGATGTCTGTGGAGTTAGAACTACTCTGTGACTGCCTAATATAACAAGTCTTGTATTGAAGTATTGAACTTCAGCATAAACTTGGAAAGTCACTGAACCATTCTGGTGTATGTGCCCGGAGAATACCCACAGCAACAGATTACCACACCAAAGTCTGCTGTCAGTTGCCAAGGTTCCACTGAGACTCGGGGACAAGTATTGGATTTCTAGGTGTACTGAAACAGAATTCTGCACCTGGAAACTATATAGTGTGTCAGAAGTGCCATTAAGCTTCTTCACAATATACAGTACATAGAGTTGAAACAGATATTATGCAACAGGCTCTGCTAAATGTAAACCTGAAGCAGCAGTTTTGGTTACTGCCAGGCTTAATTTTCTACATGAAAACAAACTTTATTTCTTTTTAGCTTTCCCTTTTTTAATGCAGTAAAATGGGTAGATTTCAACACATTATGGAGAAATTTTCAAATGTATGCACATATATTGTACCTATATTTACTGAATACACACAAAAATACACATGCAACATATATCTGTGCTTACTGTGCATGCTTTATGCAGGTGAAATTGTAGCCTTGTCCCCCTGATTGCAAGTTGAATCTAAGACAGATAATTCCCCAGACCCCCTGATAATCTGTCTCCCAATAAATACAAGTGGAAGCTGAAGTCATTACACTTTACTGTTCTTGAAGGGGTTTTGGTTTTTTTGTATTTTTGATGCACAGAAGCAAACCTCATACAAAACTATCGTGTCCATTAAACAAAAGTTTGTGAAGATGGGACATTTTTTGTCACACAGGTCAGGTGTCCCTCTTGTGAAGTCCAGCTAACCTCCCTTCCCCAATAACAGCTGCGTGTCTCCACCCCCAACAAGCCCATAGCTAGCCACTTCTATGGGATGTTCCTTGTGGAAGTTAGAGTTCAGACAACTCTAATCTTCAAGCAAACCTGCAGGGTTTTCGCCACTTCCCACTTTTGCAAATCAAACAGCAGAGTTCAGCTTGTAACCAGATCCCATCATGGTTCACGCAGCTCTGCCTGTCTTCTCAAACAGCGCAACCAAATTAATACCGAATATGATGTCACATTGTGGGGGAAAGTGATTCAGTCAATGATTAAAGATACTGAAGTCACTTGCCGGAGGCCAGGATAAAAAATATCCACAGAATAAACTGTGATAGCCACACTGACTATCCATAGTCTATTCTAGTAGTGGGTATGGAGATGTCAAAAGCTGCACAAGAGTCTGAGACACAGACGTTTGACATGGATTATCGGTCTATCAGCATTGCATAAAGAAAATCAACAGAACCTTAATGCACAGGATATGACGCTGACTTGTTATGGCTTATTTATTTCCATTGAGGTATCTTGGCCACAGTGCTATGATATGCAAGTAGCCTGGGTTCATCAGGTGACATGACACTGTATATCACAGGCATTATTAAATCATTGGTGATACTATCTCTAAATATGAGACATTTCATATCAGTTGGTATCACCATGTTTGTGTTTAATTTATCACTAATGCATTGAGGGCACAACCTTGTATCCATTACTAATACCTTGAGGTCACTAGAAGTTAACAGAGTCCAGAACTGAGAACATAAGTTAACCTTAACTCTTCCCTATATTATGTTTCTTGTTGTTTTCATTGAAATAAAGTAGCAAAATCTTCGTCTAAGGTGTATGATGAGGTCACATTTTCAGTAAGTTAGCAAAGAGTCTAATGCTTATGATCTGGTTGCATTGATTGACTATATTTTCAGTGCTCATAAATAATAACTGTTTAAAATTATTTCTTTTTTATTAAGGGAAAATGTGAATAAAATATTTTATGTATAAAATGTATTGGTCTTTCCCAGAGACATAGTCTTATGTATTGTCAGGAGGAGGCTGCCTGGCTGGTACCTATCGTCCTAAGAAAAAGGGAAGGACCAAAATCTATGTTTTTACAATATTTGTCACTGGGGGGAGGAATTGGTCTTCAGTGTTTTGGCTACATGGCTTTGCAAGCTTTCTGAGTAGAATTGTGTGTCTGTGTTTACAGAAAATAGCAAATACCACAGCACAGCAAGTGACACCACAGCATAGTCTATTGGGCATAGAGGTGATTTTAATTCCTCACATTTTCCACAGTTCACTGAGATTATCAGACAAAAGGACAACACGTAATCTTAAAGGAAAGGAAGGAGGAAGCCTAAACGTGTTTTCCTGTGGTGAAGGATAGGCATGTTGATCAGAGGACAGATTTTAGCACAAAATTACATGGTTATAATCACAAAGTACAATAATAGATACATGACAAAAGGAATATTTTAGAGTAAGTTGCTCAAATACTAAGGTAATGGGCACAGTATAAAAAGCTAGACAGACAAGAAGACAGATTAGGCTAATAGTAGTTCTGTTTATTGGCTTGGTGTATTGGGAACAGGTTTTATTTCAAGCTACCTTCACAAGTTGCACAGATTCCAAAGTCACATATCCTGTATCTGGAGGTATAACTGCTATTTAGAAACTTTTTTTTTGCTGAAAAAAATTAAAAATATATACACTCGTTGACATTTTGATATGACACACCAGAAAACACTGCATGCATTTCCCTGCAGTTTTAACAAGTGCTAAACCCAGAACTGGAAATATATGTAGATGGAGAAGTTTAAAACCAGTGTAAGTCTTGACGTTTATGCTCCATTAGAAATGTAGCAAAGTTCAGTATTTATCCAAGCAACTAGGAGGACAAAAATCAACTACAAAAGAAATATTACCTTCAAGCTTCTACAAAAAATTTACAAACCACAAAGAGCAATACGTAACTCTAGATTATATTTATTATAAAATACTACAAGTGTGCATTTTATGCAGATAGTTAAAATGGAATTATACACGTTTGATATGTTTAATTTTTTAACTTTTTTCTGTAGTTATTGTAAAGCAATTTCATATCACAATTACAAACTGCTGCTGCTAGAAGCCCTTTAATTCTCTGGCAGCTGAGACACAGATCCGCTGGGAAACACAAAGTTGTGTGGAGGGACTCGTCCTATCAGTTTACATCCCTTTTCCTGTCCCAAAAATTAAATTAGATGGAAAACAAACCCTACATGGCTGGAAAAAGCCAGATTAGAGAAAAGTGCAAATCCCTTGAATACATCAGAGGAACAGAAGGCCACTGGGCTTCTGATGCTGGAAGACAACTAAAGAAAAGGGAGGAGCCCACAGCCTGCTAGGGGAAGGGAAGGAACTTTGGTAGGGGAATCCAAGTGAGTTTTGTTAGTTTCTAAATTGACTTGATAAAGCTCAGAATGTTTGCACAGATTTATCTGACCCTTTGGTATATTTTTGAAATGAAGCCAAAATTTAATATCAATTTTGATTGTCCCAAACCTGTGTAAACCAAACCTGTGCAAACCAAACCTGTGCAATGGGAAAACCTGGTCAAAAAGGGATGCTGGCGGCTCTGGTGACTGGGCCATTAAAAGTCCGGTTGGCGCGGGGCTGGCAGGCTCCCTACCGAGCTCTGCGTGGCTCCCAGGAAGCAGCTCGCATATCCCTCCAGCTCCTAGGCATAAGAGCGGCCATGGGGCTCTGCGCACCGCCCCCACCCCGAGTGCTGGCTCCGCAGTTCCCATTGGCCAGGAACCACGGCCAATGGGAGCTACAGGAGTGGCACCTGTGGGCGGGGGCAATGCATGGAGCTGGAGAGACATGTCGCCGCTTCCTGGGGGCCACCTGAGGTAAGCGCCACCTGGAGCCTGCACCCCAAACCCCCTCCCACATCCCAACTCCCTGCCCCAGCCCTGAGCCCCCTCCTGCACCCCAAACACCTCATTCCCAGCATTACCCCAGAGCCCTCACCCCCAGCCAGAGCCCTCAACCCCCCTACACCCCAACTCCCTGCCCCAACCCAGTGAAAATGAGTGAGTGAGCGAGGGTGTGAGAGAGTGAGCCACAGAGGGAGGTGGGGTGGAATGAGCAGTTGCAGGGCCTTGGAGAAGGAGCGGGGTCTCATAGAAGGGGTGGGGCAATAGTGTTCAGTTTTTTGCAATTAGAAAGTTGGCAAGCATACTTAAAGGTAACGTTTGCTGAAACACATAGTCAGAGCGAGTAGGTTTCTCAGAGCGAGTAGGTTTCACACAGCCCTAAAGACAAGCATTTAATATCCCACAAGAACATATGCTTCTCTCATTCCACCTCTCTCACTCTGCACACACCCCTATTTATTTATCAGAAAAGCAAAAATCCAACCATAAAAGCTCCCCAGTGATGACCCGCATTATTTTCTCAGCACATGTAATATGGTGTGAATTTGGTTGTGTCATCGAGAACCAGAATCCATAACTTCCACTGGAAATAATGGCAATCTGATGATACATGAGAATCCACTGGAGTTGTCTGTCAGTACTGAGGAAGATAAAGCACATCATCACAGTAAATGCTGAAGAGCAAGAACTAAAAAAACCTACTACTACTCATCAAGTACCATTGTGGAGAGGGTACTGTTGGTAACCTCACTGGTGCATGAGGCTGAGGTGGATGGAGCACTCTTGTCATTAGTGGTGGCTTTGCCTGACATTATTTCCTCTGTATTCCTTTCTGGCTTCAGTAAAATAATGTAACATTTTGGCAGAAATATGCAACCAAGCAAACCAAAGCTTGATGCCAAAATTGCAAATATCTCAACAACTACTTTGAATTTCCCTCTTGTGCTTAAATAGGCTGGAACAAAAGAAATCCAGACTATGAAGAATACCAGCATCCCAAAAGTGATAAATTTAGCTTCATTGAAATTATCTGGTAACTTGCGAGCTATGAAGGCAGTGATGAAGCATAATACAGCAAGAAATACATCAAACCCAAACATAGTACATAAAAATTCTATGGAGCCTTCATTACACTCAAGAATGATCTTTACATTTTGGAATTCCATATTTTTGTACACATATGGAGGTATACATGTGAGATAGGCTGTGCAAATACACACTTCAATTATCATAGAGATTAGCACAAGAAGTTTTTGATGAAAAGATTGCATGGATATATGGTCATGCTTCTCTGCAGCCTTCAACTTGCTACCTCTATATGTTAACAGGAGTGCAAAAGTTTTTCCCAGTATACAGGACAAGCAAAGAGAAAACCCCAGGGCAAGAGTCACTTGGCGGATCTGACACGACCATTCTTTTGGTTTACCAGCAAAGAGGAAGGAAGTTAACAAAGTAATGACAAGAGATAGCTGAATGAGAAAGCTCAACCCTCGGTCATTGGCTTTCACAAGAGCAGTGTCCCTGTGCATCCTATAAACAATGGTCACAGAAAGGACAATACAAGCTCCAAATAGAGAGAGAGCTACCAGTGTGGTCCCTAAAGCTTCATCATAAGCCAGAAACTCCACCTCCTTTAGCACACATTCATTCTTGAGTGTATTGGACCAGTAATCATCAGGACATGGAAAGCATTCTCTTGCATCTGTTAAATACATAAAATATTTTTAATTGATTTAGGCAAGGACTGTTAAATGTATCTGTTTGAAAAAGACTCTCATTAACAAGTTTGCTACAGATGTGTGTTTTCGGAGGGGGTGTGGGGGGGGAGATACAAAATAAAGCTTTTTCCAGTCCGGTGAAGCACAGAAGTTAACCACTAAGAAGTTTGGGCAGATGGATTCCGCCTGCTAATGGAATCTCACCCCACTTAACTGGGATAGCTGCTGGGGATAAAATTTAGCCAATGCATTTCATTAATTGAAAATAGCTGGTATAAGGCATGCTATGTCATTTAAATAGCATTCTTCATGTTGACATGTTCCTAATAGTTGAAGGATTGTAGAGGGTTCAGAGAAGTGCCATGAGACTGATAAAATGATTGGTTTACTTTACAGTGAAAGACTCAAGAAGCTCAATCTCTTTACTACCCAAAGAGAAGGTTAAGGGTGACTTGATCACACTCTAAGTACCTACAAGGGGATCAGAAATTTGGTAACTGAGGGCTCTTCAGTCTAGCAGACAAAGATATAACAAGATCCAATGGCTAGAAGTTGAAGCTAAAGAAATTCAAAACTACGGTGCAAATGTTTACCAGTGAAGATAATTAACCATTGGAACAACTTACCAAAGGTTGTGGTAGATTCTCCATCACTGGCAATTTTTAAATCAGACTGGATGTTTTTCTAAAAGATTACTCTAGTTCAACCAGGAATTAATTCAGAAGTCCTATGGCCTAGGAGATCAGACTAGATGATCAAAATGGTCACTTCTGGCTATATAATCTATGAATTAACAGCTGGTATTTAAAATAGAGCTAGCTGGGAAACTGAATTTCAGTTTTGTGGAAAATTTTGAGTTTTCAGAAATATTTTCATACTGAATTGGAGTGTTTAGGTATAAGTACCTCAATACAATGGTGAAGGGTGTTCTAGAAATACCGTAGACAGAGAGAGATTTTATGAAGCCCTGAGTTTGCCTGTTACAAAAATTCTACTGTATCTGAAAGAACTCTGGTCATTCTAATTTTATCTCATATAGATCTGAATGATCTATTATATTATCTGGATGAAATCAGTGATATGTCTATACCTATTTATTCTTACATGAGGCTTTTGTGCTGTACCTGTTTCATTACTTATCTCTCCATCTGCACATGGAATACAGACAAAACAGCATGCAGGCACCCCGTGTCGGATCCCCTTTCTAGCACCAGGTTGGCAGTTTTCAGTACACACAGAACGCGGAGGCTAAAAGGAACAGTATACAATGTCAAATCTATTTCTTCTACAGAGAAATGCATTAGGTATATAAATATGTAGCTAAAAATGGATCTTCCCAATGTGCAAACCTGGGCTCCCAAAAAAGTTCATTTATTACAGTCTACATTGGAACCTTGTCATCTTTTTTCCACCCCTAAAACTTAAGAGCTCGGCTTTGTGCTCCAGATCAAATGTATTATTTGTTATTTTTCCACCAGATGTGCTGGCCAGACTAAACTACAGCAGTGTGTACTAAATAATTAATGTGCTGCTGGAACATTAAAAATGCAAGAAAAAAATAGTTATCCATTACTGAGAGAGGAAGCAAACGTCACCCAAAGAGTAAATAATACATTTTTATAAAGAAGAAACAGGTTGTATTTTAAATGAAAATAATATCCTGTACAAAAAGCTCTACAGCTCTGTACATGACCAAACAGGATGGTTTCTAGATAAGATTGGTTTCTAAACAAAGATATTATATATGTATTTGAACAAACAGATATATTTGTTTATTAAATATGTGACTTCAAACACATTGAAAAATGTTCAAAAAAGCTTTCTAAGGGGCCAAAACCTGCAATCCTTATTCAGGCAACACTCCCATTAAGTCAGTGAGTAAGGACTTCATGATATGGCCAACACCAAGTAATCACAGGCTAGTCTGCACTGTCTTTTATTAATTATTATTATTATTTATTTCTATCGCAGCAGTGCCTACTGACCATAATTAGGGATAAGAGCCCCATTTGTACCTATACTCTGTGCACACAACACAAATTACAATCCCTGCCCCAGAGATTTTACAATCTAGTATTTTGACTATACACAGCAATTAAATAAACAGACAAATAGAGGTAGGGAAATGACTAGGAGGTGGGATAACAGCAGGCAAAGTAACAGTAAAAAAAATAATTTGCATAACACCAGTCTCAGTAGTCACAGCGGTCCATTAAGAAGAAAAGAGGCAAAGATTACTAACTTTTAATGTTGGAGTGTTCCAGAATATGGAGTCGTTATTATATATCTTCATCTCATGCCCATCTTTTGTATCATTATAGATTCCAATCTTCACAAAGGAGATTTCTCCAGTCTCATTCAACTGCCAGTTTATAATGTCATATGACGCATACACATCTCCATTGTCATCTATCTTTACTAGCTCATTGTCAAAGGTTGTAAATTTAACATTCTTCAGATAGTACATTAACTATAAAACAGGGGGAAAGTGATTGTCAAATTAATTTACAGAGTTATGTACACTAGTTACATAGCTGGGAAGGATCTGAAGTAGGACATGGACCTGTCATGTCTAGAATTGCCTCAAAGATTTTAAAAACTTAAAGTAAGATAAGTTTTAAAATATATGTACATATAATCTTGTGCCAGATAAGTGGTCAAGTAATCCCTCCCATGGGAAGAAAAGCATGACTGATGAAAAATCCCCTTCCGTGTCCCCAAAAGGATGGGCTGCTTGCTGCTTATTACGCTACCAAACTGAATAATATTCCTTTTAACTCATTAAATTCTATGTAGTAAAACTTCTGTGTAATTCTGCTCAGGTCCATTAATACTACTTGATTTTACCACCTCAGATGGAAGTTCATTTAACCCACAGCATTCACCACGCTCTGTGTAAAATAATGGCCTCAAGTTCCTCTGACATATCTTGGGGCAGATCCTCATCTAGTATAAATTATCCTAGACCCATTAATTTAAGTGGGCCTGTGACAAATTTACATAGCTAAGGAGCTTCTTCATTCCCTGGAATATATATAACTGGAATATGTTTTATGCTACATATGCCATTCAAAAGGTTATGATCTACTGAATATATTCATCCTATTTGTATGCATGTATCATTTTTGTATTCGAAGTTATGCATATTGGCTGTGCACTTGTTTGATTTTAAGTAGCCTTAGTAAGGCATTTGGTCAGCTTCTTAAGAAAGGAATTTGCAAGTTAAGTGCCCAATCAAGAAACACTTAACAGACATAGAACCTTGGAAGACTCTAATCCAAATAAGAAGTCTCCCTGGGGACGTTCAAGGTAGCATGTAAGCAATGGCTGCCACTTGTAAGGAACTGAGTCATGCATGGACATGTGACTTGCCCATGTGACTCCAAAACTCCATCTTGGAGCTGGATTCTGCATAGGAGAGAGGAGGGGGTCTCCACCCACAAAAGAAAGTCTATTTAAGCCCCTGGGAGACCCCTCCATTTTGTCTTCAGCTGGCTCAAGAGATAGCCTCTCCGCCCCCAAAGGATACCTGAAAGAAACTGGAACAAAGGACAATAACCACAGGGGTGTGAGTGATTGCTGGACCCAGGCTAGAAGGAGGCTAGTCTGTAAAAGAAGCTTACTGGAACATCTCTGAGGGTGAGATTTCATCTGTAATCACTTTCTTACTGTATTAGGTTTAGACTTGCGTGTTTTATTTTATTTTGCTGGGTAATTCACTTTGTTCTGTCTATTACTTGGAACCACTTAAATCCAACTTTTTGTATTTAATAAAATCACTTTTTACTTATTAGTTAACCCAGAGTATGTATTAATACCGGGGGGGGGGGGGAGGAGAACAATTTGAGTTTACCCTGTATAAAGCTTTATACAGGGTAAAACGGATTTATTTGGGGATTTGGACCCCACTGGGAGCTGGGCATCTGAGTGTTGGGGACAGGAACACTTCTTAAGCTGTTTTCAGTTAAGCCTGCAACTTCTGGGGGACGTTGTTCAGACCTGGATCCAAGTTTGTAGCAGGCTAGCATGTCTGGATCAAACCAGGCAGAGCTCTGAAGTCCCAAGCTACCAGGGAAAGCGGGCTCAGAGGTAGTCCCAGCACATCAGTTGGCAGTCCCAAGGGGTTTTCTGTGATCCAACCCATCACATATATACCTTCTATGTCTGGTGTGTCCAAGTAATAACATTGTACCAATTTCTGCCACCCTTACTCATGTTGGGTAGAACCTTACTCCTCAACTAGTCCCCATGAAATCAATGAGGCTACTTGTGGAGCAAGGTGCTACTCAGTGTAAGAGTATCAGACTCTGGCCTAGAGTAGTTATCTCTCACATCATTTACAAAACCCAAGAACTTGAAAGCAAGGAAAAGACATCACAAAATGTGCACGGACAACATAATAAACACAGTCTCAGCTAACGACGATCTTATGTTCAAAGGGCCTGATTCTGATTTCACACCAGCATAACTCCATTGTTATCTACTTACAGCCTATCATGCTGACCAATATTGTCTCATTGTTTCCTTGTACTCCCCTATCGGTCTGTCTGTAGCCATTGATCTTTTGTCTGACCCATGACTGTAAGTTCTTTAGGGAAAGGACTATCTTTTTGTTCTATGTTTGTACAGCACCTCGCACAACAGGGTCCTGGTCCATGACTGAGGCTCCTGGTCCTATGGTAATACAAATAATATCTGAGCACCTCACATCATCCCTGTGGGATAGGGAAGTGCTATTATTAACTCATATATAGACTGACTAGCCCAAGGTCATACAGGAAGTCTGTGGTTGGGCAAGGAACTGAAGCCAGGTCTCCTGACTCTTAGGGTAGAGGCCCTAACCACAATACCATCCTTCCACCCGGTTTACACAGGTGTAAGCAAAATCTGAATCAGGCTCATTTAGTGCAAACCATACCTCGTCACTTGATTTCAGCATATATTTCAAATTTACCTATTACTCATTTTATATTTAATTTTTCTGCTATTAATATTGAATTTATTTTCTTTATAGATACACTTTTAAAAATTAAAAGAAAGTTAAATGCAATTGCAGATACCACATTAAAGTTCTCTCTTTAATTCATTATGTAAAATTATGATAGGGAAAAGCAATGCTTACCTGCCAGGGCTCAAAATCATATATAATTGCACAGGAATTTTTTGGAAATGGTCCATTTCCTTCTACACAGGTGTCTAAATTGTTAAGGGCATGGGCCACAGTGAACACAGCTTTATAGACATTATATGTTATTCTGAGCTCTGAAACATCCAGGTAGGTATTTTTTATGTCTTCCAATTTCTCCTTTCCAGTACAGAGCTGATCAGAAACAGGATGTACTCCACTCTCTCGACCTGTTACATTTATTCTAAAATCTGTATTATAAGGTACCGTGCTGTTAGGCCAAGTGCAATTGAAAGCAGTCTGCCAGAACTCTATAGTCAAGTCATCACTAGCATCATTATCTGGATGCACATCAAGCAGAAAGTCTTTTAATCCTGGTATGTCACCTCTCCGTACTCCAAAACCAATGGTCCCACCAAGGAATGAAAAATATTCAGGTTTAGCAATTAGTGCTGATGTAACCCAGGCCTCACTTGCAATCCAGGTTTTGCCAGTAATTTTACTGTTTGCAATTTCTTCCATTAAGGGACTGAGGTCAATATCAGAGGAATACACTACAATGATATTTGCTGTGGATTCTTTTATAGCTTCCGCAACTGCTAGTATTTTTTCCCTGGAAAATATTTTTGGAATGGTCTCAGAGAAAGCAATGCAGATTCCAGATTTCTCTACATTTTGTTTAAAATGTTTGATTCCGTATTTTCCATAGTCATCATCTGCTGCTATTGTTCCTATCCATACCCAACCAAAATGTCGAACAAGTTCTGCCATAGCCAGTGACTGATGGTTATCATTCGGTATAGTGCGCAGAAAGGAAGGGAACTGGTATTTGTCAGAAAGAACCGAGCAGGAGGAGGCATAACCAACCTAACCTAAAAAAAAAAAAAAAAGTATTGAGGAGGGATTACTGGCCCAGTTACTGCTTTGTTTTTCACTTTCTTCTATTTAGCTATCTTTGGTATTTATAGGGCAACATTCACCAAAGCCGGGGCCCAGTGTTTAATGTGACTATGCAGCCTCTAACTGCTGCATCATTAGAGATTATTTTTATGTTGCTGTATGTGTATTCCAGAACCTAAATTTCAAAAGGTAAACCAAGTGTAAACCAATGCAATACAGACAGCTTGAAACAATAGCGCTGAGAGAAGTGTGAATGCTCCAAGTCAACTGTGTGTGCACTCTGAAGCCTAGTAATGAAAATGTAATTATGAGGAGCCAGGGGTCACCAGCACTCAGAGAAGCTTTGGTCACACCACTCTTTGCCCAGCCATGGTCCCTGCACTGTCTGCTGGGAAGGAAACAGTGTATGAGCTATTGGGTGGCTTTGAGCCAGCCAAGGATTCCCTTACACAGAAGTGGTCCTCCAGTGGCCAGTTAAGCCTGTTTTGTAGCCAGTAAAATGGTGGAAAGTTCTTACAATATGTGTTAGATCATTCAAAGTGAAGAGCATACAAGGTGTTGACTGGCCACTTCACCTTGAATGGTGTCTTAACTCAGAGAGACAAGTTGGATGAGATAATAACTTTTCTATTGGACCAACTTCTGTTGGTCAAAAACAAGCTTTTGAGCTTACACAGAGCTCTTCTTCAGGTCTGGGAAATTCCACCTTGTGTTTAACTGTGACACTCTGAGCACCTTTCCCAGACCTGAAAAAGAGCTCTGTGTAGCTCGAAAGCTTGTCTCATTCATCAGCAGAAGTTGGTTCAATAACAGATATTTCTTCACCCACTTTGTCTCTCAAATATTGCTCATTATATTTAGATTTTAAACAAATACAAACTTCAGTTACCTCAGGGAAATAATAGAGCCCTACGATTCTTGAAGAAGCAATAGTCAATGTTGATCCACCAGCTCCAATGACTGCTACAAGAGGTGCACCAGCACTGCATCTGAAGTTGGGCATTGTTTCATTCTGTCCAGTCAAGTATGCCAAAGTCCCTTCAACAGTTTTGGATGTTGTAAAGCAGGTATCATAGATGTGATAACCCAGTGTTATATTTGGTAGAATATCTAGCCTATTGTTCACCTCCTGGATGGCATGTATCATAGCTCTGGCCCAACGGAAACCTCGGAAGTTAAATCTGCAAAGACAAAGTATTTGTCAGTGCTGAATACATTTGCCAAAAGCACTTCACATGGAACACACTTCTTGTGTCATTCCTAAAAGCAAAGCAACACATTTTGTGAATGCACAGTTTTCCCTGAAAAGTAATGGGTTTTGATGAAATCTGATCCTGTAAAAATTGATCTGATTGGAGAATGTTCAGAAACTTCCTAGAAGGCACTCAGCACCTCCCAGGATCAGCTCCAAAATGAATAGTAAGTGAATGATCATGGAGGGTCTAATCCTGCAGCCCTTACTCATGAGTATTCTCATTATCTTTGTTATCCTATTGCAATCACTGACCATTCAGCTGAGTAATGACTACAGGAGCAGGTCCTTATTTTGTAGTCACTCCATCATCCTCAGAGCCAAACTGGCTGAGAACCAACCACTTTTTTTTGATACGTCATTTTCCAGTGACACTTTGTTCTCACCCACCTCATCTTATATTAAGAACATCTCGACAAAAGCTTGTCATTAGCATCAGACCAGCAGTGGAGTTCCTCCCAAGAATCCCAGTAGATGATTTATTTCAAGTAGAGAAACATAGGAGGTCACAATGTAAACAGAAGCAAAGTTGACATTGCCTTTATTCTTCACAGCTACCTCCCATGGACATGTGCCTTTACCTACATCTCCTCAGTAGCTTAGCGTGAGCTCTGTGCAAACTTATAAATTACGAATTTTGTCTTTGTCTTACTTTCAGCCTTTGAAATTATGGTTTATTCAGAACTGAGTGTAAATCCATGCTCCACTCAAAGCCCTAGTGTTCTGCTTTGCCATCATTTGGACAAACCCAGAGGGAAAATGCTTTAATTATTTCATACTGCACCTTATGAGTCTTTCAAGACACCAAAACAAAAAGAAGCAATCACTGCTGTTGGTTGCACGAGAGTCAAAAGTACTTTTCTTACATTGTAAATATTTTAATAAAGAGTTTAAGGGGAGAAAGATCACCATAATTAGAAACAATTGTACTTGTCTGATTTCTATATAACATGTGATTCTGAGAATTAAAACCAACTTCTGCTCTCTCTACACTAACAGACTGCATGTGCTACAAACCGCTCATAAGGAAAATACTGACTCAGTGATGAGCTTGGAGGTAATAAGCCACCAAATAATCCACTTCAATGTGACTCTTCTAAAGTGGCTTTGATCTGTAAGGCAGTAAAGGAAAGTTTTGTTCCTGTTATGGAGAAAGCTGATGTGCTTATGTATTGGTGCAATGGTGCCCAGGTACTACACAGACAAACACCCTAGAAGCTTTAATAATGATAATAATTTGTAAAAGTCCTGCCTATGGAAAGTAGAACCAAAATAGAGAAGCTGTAATGTTTCATCTCTGAGGTTTCAATATGAACCAATATACTCCTCCAATATTACAACTAATTAATTAACTAAACGTGCCCTTTTCCCTCTGAGTTTTGTCTTGAGATTCAATAAGAAACTCAGAGATTATGAAACCATGTACACCAATCCCCTGGAAATGTTCTGGGAAAGTTACATGAATTCAAACCTAGGAGTGTTTGCGTAGGCTTCAAGTCTTTCCTCTCTTTAAACCTTTAACTGTTCTAGGTGGAGCACCAGTTGCCACAATCACATCCATGCAATCCATTCTAATGGAGTCACAGTCCAAACTGTGCCTGGAACTAGCACTCTGGGTTAAAACCTACACTAGATGTTGGTGCTTCCTGGGAAACAGAAAAAGAAGCCAGGATGTCACCAAGAAAATCTAGCAGAAGCATTCCAGCCTCTGCTGCTTTTATTGGACTTCAGGAAGCAGTAGCAGCAGCAGACCTGCTATTTGTGACATGTTCAGCTGACATGGCCAAGATGTGCCCATGACTGGACAACAATCCTGAGGGGCCCACTGGTGGTGGGATTTGTATTTCCAGGAAGGAAGGATAGATTGATCAATCCCAGGATAAATTTACACTCAAACAAACTCCACTAACACAACAAATCACTATCAGAAAATATTCTTACCCCTTCTATTTCTTCCCACCTCCCAGTCTTGTGCCAAGCATGGCACAGCCAGACCAAAGACTGTGGCCGATGACTTTTATTCACTTGTCATAAATATGCAGTGCCTTTCCAGAGAATGAGGGCTGATCCTGCCAAGCAGCTGAGTGCCTTCAACTTCTGTTGGACTCCAATGACAGTAGAGGGCCCTCTGCACTTTGAAAGATAAAGCCCTCAGCAGATTAGTCAGATTGCTTGAATTTTCTCTCAGCCTTTCTGACCGGGCTATAATTAGAATAATTAGAAGCTGTCATCATGAAACATGAAATCTGCTTAGTTTTAGCTTTCCTTGAAAACTCAAGCCAGACTGGTTGGAAAATTTACAAAGATCTACAAACATTTCAGAGATGCTCAGCTCTGGGCATTTTGGTTAAAACCACTTTTTAGTGCAAACAAGTGCTTAATTTGTGCCAGGGCAGTTCATAGTCCCAGCACCTCTGGGCTTGCTGCATTAGTTATGAAAAATTGCTTTAGCTTCAGCACGTCTTTCATTACTGTCAAGGCTGATTCCCCACTCTGGCACTTCGAGTGCAGAAGATGGGGGCCTGCAAGGATTTTAAAAATTAATACTGGCCACTCCAGGCTGGCATTAAACTCCCAAGGTCACAGCTTCTCTTTGACCTTGGATGGGTAGATGCTGCCACCACCCAAGTGCCACCACCCAAGTGCAAAAAACCCCTTTTTAGAGAACCCAGAAGCCGCACTTGGGAATTCCTTCCTGTGGGGTACCCTCAAGCTCTTTCACCCCCGCTCCAGGGAAGAGCTGAGAAAGAAAAGCAAAGGAAATCAGCTGTTGCCACCAGCTAATTAAACAACATGTGCACAAACCTCTTAGGGCACCAAAAATCCAATCCCGTTCTTAAAAAAAGGTAAATTTTATTAAAAACAAAAAAGAAAGAAAATACATTTGGAACTTAGGCTTTTGCTAGATTTAAAAAACACAATTACAAAAATTAAGTATCAAGATAGCTCTCTTGAGGTTCAGCTTAAAGGTTACAAGCAAAACAAAAGCATCTGGGGTTAGCACAGAGGAGTCACAAGCCTATAAGAAATAAGAGAAATAACCCTAATTGTGTTTTCCTAGACATTCCCTGATTTACTACATAATTGGGGTTTCAGATAAGCAGGGTTGAGGTATGATTTGATGCTTTTTCATACCTGGTTTTAAAGCTTTTTACAGCATAGCTCCAGCCCTGTCCTGCTCTGACCGGAGAACAACAACAGACAAAGGGACGTTTTTTCACCCCCAATTTTAAAAAGTTCTAGCCCTCCCATTGGCTCTTTTGATCAGGTGCCCACTCCCTTTCTTTTACCTATGGGTTTTTTTAACCTTTTACAGGTAAAGCAAGTAAAGAATAGTTACGAACAGGGATTTTGTAGCTAACTGGCTGGGTGTCCATAAAAGAGAGCTATCCCGTCCCCCCCTTCATTTATCACAATTACAAATTAAGCACTTGTGCAAAACCTTGTTGATTGAAACAGGAGGAAACATTTCCAAAGACCCATGCAATCTGGAGAATTCACCTTAATGGAAAGTGAATTCTGATACTGAAAGCCTGAGTTTTTATATCAGTACTTTTGTTCAAAGAACTACATTCATTCAGTTAGGGAATAGAAACCTAACACAAATATGTGTCCTCTGTGCTCAATCCAGACTCACCAACACAGGATACAAAATTCTAATGAAAATTTTAATGAAATGCTCAGATGCAATCTATAGACCTTATTCATGGTGAACAATTTCAAATAATAAATACACTTGAGAAAAATGGCTGTTCACAGACAATTCACACTGAAAAAGGGGTGAGATTCATCATGTAAACTATACATTATGAATTATTCACCCAGCTTTACTTGCAGCTGGACAATTTGTTCTGAGAAGGAAAAAAAAAATCTAAACAACTCATATACCAATCCTATTTCCATATGATATGCTTCCTCTTCCTCAAAAGTAGCAATAGAAATCCCTGAGGAAACATAAACGGATCTATTGCTATTCCAATCTATGTTGTAGTTACCTTAGAGAAGAAGAAAGCATAATTTCTGCCCTGTTTTGCATTCTGTGGGATGTGTGCACAATTGTTTTACGATATATTCAGAAATGTGATATTATTTCCAGCAATACTGCTGCTATTTTCTACTCAGCAACGCCAGAAGCTTTAACAAATACTTTATTGTGAAAGTTACTGGGGATAAAATCCTGAGGGGTGCTAAACCCATGTAATTCCCAATTAATTCTTTGGGAGTTGCTGGCCCTCAGCAGTCTCAGAATTAGGATTCTTTATTTACCACTACAGAATAACAGAAAACATTTTGCAACAAAGTAATCATAGTGGTAGGTTTACAGGGAATTACTCACTAGCAAACTTTAACAAGTATAAAAATTACATATTGTTTAAAAGGACAATGCAATAAAATTAGTGGAACAAAGTGTTGTTAGCATTTTTCAGGCTTGAGGCTACAAGGATTCTTTTTTATGGCCCATATTCTATTGTCAGTTTTTGTGCAAAATTCCTGTTGACTTCAATGGACGTTCTGTGCAAGAAACAAGGGTCTATATAGCCTCCAACCAGCATCCATTGAAGTCAATGGGAAGACGATTAGGTCCTTGTTCTATATTCAAATAGTATGCAATAAGGGTCTGATCCTGAAAAGGGATGCTGACCACCTGCAATCCCCATTGACAGCAATGGAAACTTAAGGAATACAGCACCTGCCTGCATTGGACCCATGATACTAGCAATAGCAAAGTGTTCTGTGCCATTTTTGTCTCCTTTCAGAATCAACTTTATTGGCTCCTAAGACATACAGAACAAAATATGGTTAAATACATGGTATGCAATTACCTTTATTCATAAACTCGCTGCAGTGGTCTTAGTAGAGTCCCTCTGGGCATTTCACAGTACAGACTACCATACAGTTCACTGAATGCAGTGAATAGCCCTGGCTTAAACTGAGTCTTAAACCCCTTAAGCGTACATAATGCTCTCTCTTTGCTGAGAATGGCCTTTCCAGAACAGCACAAAGATGTATCAATAAAATCTGTGACATTTTAGTGCCCCCACAATGTAGACACTATTTCATGGTTACTGGACAACAAAAACAGGTGTGATTTTACTCTGTGTTGTAAATGATGGGGCGTTAGAGAAGAAATTACACCTTTCTAATGTATTGGCTATTCTACCTTATTCCATCGAGTTTTTCATGCTGCAACCGCTGCAGTGGTATTTGAGCACCTAGACTCTGATCCAGCACGGCATTTAAGCAGATGCTTAATTTAAAACTCATTTATATTCCCACTTAAATCATTGGGATTAGCTGTGTGCATAAAGTTAGGCATCCGTTTAAGTGTTTTGCTGGGTCCGGGCACTATTGCGCATCCCCAGTACCCTCCAGCCAGATGCTGAACATCATAACTGCTCAGAATAATTAATAAATGACGCTAGAAAATTCAGGTTTTAACACAGGCATTCTGCTGATTGCATATTGGTGGCTAGACACTGGAGTCAGCTTTACGCACAATATTGAGCAAAATCTTCCATAAAAATGGATGCACTTGCTGTATCTGTCTCTTGTACCCAAAGGAGCCATGTCTAGTCTGTAGATAGCATTTCTGATGGGTGAGTCTAAAAGAGTTCTTCCTTGGTCAAGCCACTCAGAGCTACCCTTCAGCTTCTCTTAAGTGGAAGCCACTGTTTGCACATCTTACGAATTCTACCATTTTTTATCCAGTAATAAAACACCTGCACTGGCGCGCGCGCACACACACACACACACACACCCCTCATTTATCTGCCAAGCTGCTACCTGCACAAGAGGGGAAATGTCTTACCCTTCACATTTTGGTGACACTGTCTCTGAAGTAGTTGGTTCTTTTTCTGGTATAGTCCTGAAGTGAATGGGAAACATTCCTCCTATTATCAGCATATGGTTCTCAGATTCCACATAGCCATGTAAATCAAATTTTCCTAGCAATCTACATGTAGCTTCTGCACCTTGAATGACCAGCATACGCAGAAAGAATGCAAACAATCCTAGAAGCAAGTACAACTTCATGTTGGCCATTTTATTAGGAGCCAATTTGGGAAAATGATCAATGTAAAAAAATATTCAAGCCTTTATGAGGCCCTTGAACATATATTTACGTCTACTAGCCTATGAAAGAATAAGTAGGTTCCCCAGGGACATAGCTTGCTGTCCTCACTACCTAACTGGCAAGTCACATCCCATTTGCAAGGCGCTATATAGAGTGAGGGTTATGCTGTTATTTTGAAAAGTACCTAAAATTTGCCCTGTTCCTTAATAACCAAATAAAGTGCTAGAAACAAGTTATTTGTATGATTTTGTGTGCTCTCTACTGCTGAAGGGACAGAATTCTGGCTCTGATGTTTCCATAATGAGTTAGGACACTTAGGGATCCTTTTTGGAAGGTACCAGGAGAATGTTTTTTAATTATCTCTTCATAAGTCTTATTCAGGTGAGCTATTACTGAGGTAAGTAGGAAAACTGTGCAGGATCAAGCACTTCCTTTTAATACACATCCCAGAAGGAGACAAACAGGTCTGATCCTATTATGTTTTATACAGATGTGTCTGCTGCAGGCATTAGACACTCAGTAAAACAAGCAGTTGAGGTCTGGTGATGATAGGGATGCACTGGGGGGTGCCTACCTACTTCCTTCATCAGAGATCCTGCTGGTGTGGATGAACCTCTCCCCACATATTATGGGTGTGTTTCTTTAAAGATAGATGTTGACAAGATTAGAATAAGGATCAGGCTCCAGAGGAGTTGAGAGCCAGCTGCTCCCCATTTGAGCTTCAACAATCAGATTCACCAATACCTCAACACCTGGGTACCTTGTCCCTAAAAACTAGTTCATCTTTTCACTGTAATCTGGCTAAATATTTTGATTTATAATGTCCAGATTTTAGAAAAATACTGCTCATCACGACTACTGGGTTTCCGAATTGTGGCACATAACACTTGACACTTGTGGCACAGCTCAGCTACCATCAGCCTCCTTCACTCTTTCAATCATGCTCTATATTTTGTTGAAAGAGAAACTCTAGTGCCTTTGAGAATGTGTTTCCTGTTCTTGTGGAAAACATTACCACCCACTTGCAAATTCAGTTAACACAGAATCACCTAAGTATGCACAAAAATGCAGGGAGAAATCATGAGACAAATAAGACACAAAAGAGCTGAACTGGGAATGACCTTCAAAACATGCAATTCGTGTTTTCTATTTTAGTTTCTTTTTGAAGGGGAACATTACACCTAATTAACTGTTATTTGAAATGTTATGGAAATGTAAGTGGAACTCCATCCACCACTGAAGCTAGAAAAATACTGTTCAGTGGCCATGCCATGAGTTTGGCGATCTCAGTCCAGTTCCTGAAGAACACATGCCATTTCCTAAGCACACTGAAGGCAGTGGAAAGGCTTCCATTGACTTTGTTGGGATTTGGATCAGATGCAAATGTCCATTTAAAATGTCTAAAACCCTTCATAACTGACACTACTTGGCATTTTTGCTGACCTCAACAGAGAGGCCATGGATTGAATGGGCATGTAGACTGCTATATTGTCTCAGGCTTAGAGATGGTTGCTCTGGGTGAGAATGGAGACACCATGCCAGGGCAATGTGGGTGAAGTTTGTGCTGCTGCTGCCTTGTACTGTACCTGTCCTGTGGCTCGAGGACATCAGTCTCCTGGTTTTTCAGTTTAGACCTTACGCAAGCACTAAATTTCCACACCATTTTTTAAAAGGATAAATTAAAGGCTAGAGAAATGTGCTGCTTGTCCAATGAATGCAGAAATAGGTGCAGATTCTTCTCTAGTTTTGCTTTTCCTGCTGCATATTAACTGCTCTTCATTCCTATCAGCTACAAACCATTTCTCCATTGTTTAATGTGCTGATGGGCTCTAACACTGTGTGCGCGTGAGCCTCTCTCGCACTCTTTCTAGGTCATATGATCTTCTTAGTTTTTAACACAATACAATATACTTGTCACTACTTGTCTTTACCTTCCAGCAACAGAAACACCTGAACCCAGAAGGATATGAAAAGCATTTTAGGCAACAGGGGACAGAACAATTATGGGAAATTAAATGCTGCTGTGCTTGGTACAGTATTTACTTTGAGTGCCTTATTAACTCTTTCAAGGAAGATCATATTATTTGCATGAAAAAGCTCCTTGTAGCTCTTAAACATGAGTAGTTTAACGTAGCTGCCTATCCCTGCAAGAGAAGAATGACAGGAAAACACAGCAGTAGTGTATTGCAGTTACAACTTTATACAGATACTGGTTATCTTTACAAATCCCATATGAGGGACCCCATAGTGGCCTCAAATCCTGCTTGCACTCAGTCCCATTGCCTTAGGTTTATGGGTATATCTACTCAGCAAATGAAGGTGTGATTGTAGCACAGGCAGGCATACCCCTACTAGCTTTAACCTAGCTAGAGAGGATAATAATAATAGAGTAGACATGGTGGCCAGGCTTCAGCATGGGGAAAGTGACCCAGTACAAGCCTGCCAGGGACCCTGGGTATGCACTCAGGTTGCTAGCCCATATTGAAGTCTGTGCCACCACATCTTCATTACCACTGTTCCGTGTGCTAGCTAGATTAAATGCATTACAATTACTCCTTCATTTGCTGTGTAGACATACCCTAAGTGAATGAGTAAAAGGAGCAGGATGCGGCCATAGTTAGAGTTGACCTGTCTGTTCACGGAGAAGAAATATATGCTTTTTAGCAGTAGTAAAATGGAAAAGGGTTTTAGTGATGTTTGCAAAGCTTTTAAAATTATTAATGGACATCAGCCGTGATTTCTATTCAACATGTTTAGCATTTCAAATAGTGATCTTTGTCCTGCTACATCTCCTTAATTTATCTGCATGAAACAAGTATAAATAAATGTTTGTCTGACAAGTAGGTTCACCTCAGTCCTGATCTTCTTGGGAACTCCTGTAGGATCTGAAATATCAGAGGGTTTCTTGCCAGTGCTTGTGGAAGGGTCTCCTGTGGCTCCCTTATTATTGCTGTGAGATTTGTGTATTCTAAATTGCACACAGTGTTAAACGCATTATGGGATGATTGTGTTACTTTGCTGCCGCTATAGCAGTCAGTAATCATCGATTCCAAGGCCAGAAGGGACTGTTGTGATCATCTAGTCTGACCTCCTGTATAACAGAGGCCAGAGAACTTCCCCAAAATAATTCCTAGAGCGTTTTTTTTTTAAGACAAAACATCCAATCCAGTTTAAAAATGGTTAGTGATGGAGAATCCACCACGACCCTTGGTAAACTGGTCCAATGGTTAATTACCCTGTTAACATTTTTTGCCTTATTTCCAATCTGAATTTGTCTAGCTTCAACATCCAGCCATTGGATCACGTTTTCCTTTTCTCTGTTAGACTGAAGAGCCCCATTGTTCTGGGCATTGTACAAACACACAACAAAGAGACAGTCCCTGCTCCAAAGACTTTACAGTCTAAATGCACTGTCACCAAAACATCCCCATTCCCTGCCAGCCAGTGAACAACAATGAATTACCTGGAGAGAGAATAACAAAGATGATGAATCAATACACAACTCTTGGTCACTCTTTCATTCCATCACTAACTCGGATACTGGAGATTGTTGTAATTCATTCGGAATGGCTGATGAAAAAAATCATTCTATTTGGATGTGATATTTTCCCTACGATTTTTTACCAGAGAAGACTGCACTGAGCTATCCCTTGGAATAAAAATCAGTTCTAGTCTTTTCTCCAGAATGTTGCATTCCGGAATATTGCTTTGATTTAGCATTGAATCCTGCAAAAACCATCATTTAACATACATCTCACCATAAGGAAAGTGAGCTTAGGCATCACAAAACACTATTCCGGGGAGATCACACATTGCTCCTTCCTATCCCCATCATGTTTCCCCTGTCTCCTGCCTGCTGCTCCTGCCACTGGGTGCTCCTCAGAATCCACAACTAAAGGCACTCTGTGACTCCAGAAATTTAGCGCCTCCCCTTCGAAATCCAGGTCTTTCTTTTAATGAAATGGTGAGAAATCTAACACAACTGACTACGGTGATTATCTGGCTTTTTATATAGAAGCATTAACTTCTGTTCACATTTCAGTTTTTTCTAATCTAACATCACAATAGCTAGCTACTGAACTTTGCTATTCTTCTTTTGTAACACAAGATGGCGCCAGTACTGCGTTGGTTGGTCTAGCACGCAACAGAACCTTAAAAATCAAATGTGGCGTTCATTGGTGCATATCACAGTTTTACATAGAGAAGGACCCAAACTGCAGTATTCAAGTCTGGATTTTGAATTCCTCATACTTCTGCAGCATTTGGACAGAATAGATTGGCTGGAGATCTGGGACCAGCCATGAAATTTAGAACTAGGCCTAAGTTTTGATTCTGAACTCCCCAAATTTCAAAGATGTTTGAATACAGATCCTTGATTTGGTCCTATCTCTAATTATACAGAGCACATTTGGCAAGGGACTCTGGCTGCCTTTACACCCTAATGGCAAAAGATGTTATCATACTAAATCGAATTTTTTAAAAATCAGAGAAAAGACATGCTAAACCCAAATGAATACAAAGAAACTAAACTATAGACATTTTTGGGTATTTCCAGCTGAGACAAGCTTACTATAGCTGCTTGGTCCCTGGTGGTCCACAGGTCCTTTGGAGACTCCTGATACAAGTCTCAGATGGAATAAACCGTAGGACATACACTAATTTAATCCAGTCACCAAAAGGATCTGGTAATTGGCAGTCTGCTCCAGTGGCTGGAATCAATAACTGGCAGACAGAAGAACAAACTTTACTCCCTGAGTTACCCTTTCCTACATGTATTTGATTTTTTTTTCTTCCCAGGTGTATTGCTATCACAATTTAAATAATGAAGATTCAATCTTCACACCTGTAGGAAGTATTGTGGGGATCTTTGGCACTGTTTAATTCCTCATTAAAACCTATATAGTCCCATGGAGAAATGACATAGCAGGAAGATTATTGCCTCTCTCCTTTATATGCCACTCATATAACAGTTCAAGGGACTCACTGCTTGTCCATCTCAGCATATTTCAATTTAGGACTTAATATGGGGAGATGCACTATACAGGTGCAGGCTTAATGAATATCATAGGTTTCTCTCAGGTCTGTGTCTGCTCCCAGGTTTTTTGGTTTTTTTCCCCCCTCTTAGATTCCATCTATTAGTCTTTGGATTCTGCTTACACCATTGTACTGTTGTACAGCTGGGCTATGGGAGATAACACATTTAAACAGCACCTTCCTGAAGAATACCAAAAGTCCATGCAGAACCGCAGTGTGCAAGGTTTCATCCAAAAGACTCAGGCCTTGGCTACACTTGCAAGTTACAGTGCTGTAAAGCCTCCCCCAGCACTGTAACTCACTCCCCGTCCACACTGGCAGGGCACTTACAGCGCTGTATCTCTCTGGGTACACCGCTGCAGGTACTCCATATCTCCGAGAGGAATAACAGCTGCAGCGGAGTGGCTACGACTCACGGGCATGAGTGTAAACGCTTGCAGCGCTGTACTAATCACCTTGTCAAGTGGCCAATCCTCTCCATTGTTGTGACCGGCTGCAGCAATGCGGAAGTGCCGGTTTCAAAGCTCGTACCACAGAGAAAAGCAAACAGTTTGCAGCTTGCTTTGAGTGAGTAAATGAATGAGCAGGGGGCTGGGAGTTCGGAACTTGCAAAATAGAGAGCTGACATGCTCCAAAAAGCACTCTCTCTCCCCCCACACTCCCATCCTTTATCTGGTATTTCATTATCTGACTTACACAATAAATCTCATGTGTGTATGTGTGGTGCACAGTAATACTTTTCTCTCCTAGGGATCTTATGTACTGCATAGTATTTCATGTACCGAATTCACTCAACTGGGCTTCACCAAAGTGTTTAACTAGGGCCAGGTCAACACTATAAACTCACATCAATATAACTACATAGCTCAGGGGTTTGAAGATCCACACCCGTAAGTGACACAGTTATATTGACCCAACGCCTGGTGTAGACAGCGCTATGTCCACAGGAGGGCTTCTCACGTTGACACAACTACCGCCTCTAGTGGGGGGGTGAATTAACTACACTAACCAGATAGTAGCTTCTTCACTAAAGTGCTGCAGCTGTGCCACTGCAACTTTTTAAGTGTAGATCTAGGTTTATTCAGGTTTAAGAACATAGATATAGATTAACTAGAATACTTTAGCATGGAATGATTTCATCAATCAATAGGTGATCTTTAGCCTTAAGAAAACAACAAACTATATCTAAGAGGGTCTATTCAAAGTCACTGAATCCTCAGGTCTCAAGGAGACGGATGTGCTCTATTTCCTTCTTTGGAAGAAAAGTGAAATGCAACAAGCAAGATGAGCCAAATCACTGATGTGCTAATTTGTCCTTGGTAACTAATTAGTCTCTAATACTGTCCCCTTCCCATCAGCCACAGAAATATCTTTCTTAGAATCAAAGGTTCATTGCAGGGCTGCTTGACACAGTACCACTTAATTACATTCATCCAGTAGCAGGTACAAGTCCACAGAGAGTCTACTATAGTGCAGTAGAATAAAGTTACCTCAAAAGTACTATGACAAATGCTACGTTCAAACATTATCCACAGCTACTTACAAGAGGCACTGTCTCATTACAGCTTTTCCAGTGTATTCTAGTGGTTTGAGCAAGGGACAAGGAGACACCACTCCTAGGTTCTAATCCAGGCTCTGCCACTGACCTCTTGTGTGAACTTGGACAAGTCAATTAGCCAGTCTATCTCAGGTCCTTCATCTGTAAAGTAGGATAACACCACTTACCTCATTCACAGGAGTATTGTGAAATGTAACTAATTTTGAAAGGACTCTGAAGGTGCATATAAGTAAAGTATTATTAAATTAAAGTGGCTACTCATCCTGCACCTGCAGTCCTTTACAAAAAGCTGCCATTCTTTATATACGTAACTATAATAGAGGTGAAACTCTACTCAGGTGATAGGATGAAGGATCATATGAAATTGGGCAGAGAAATGTTGTGTGGGTCCATGAGTGCACAATGACAGGTCCAGCTTCAAGATTTTGGTGGTCACAAAAAAACAGACACTTTCACCCAAATATAATTGACCAATGTCTACCCCGTTCAAGCATAATCTTAGTCTTATCCACCTAGATAAGAAATATATGCAATATTACAGAGTCAGAATCTGCCCAGGAGAGCAAGGCACACCTCTCTCTGGGAGGGAAAAAAAAGAATCTTAAATAATCACATAGTCAAGGCATTGTGTGAATATCTCTGTGTCATTAATTACTTATAAGCTGCTGCTCCTGCCTCTTAATTCATGTAGCTACTTGATGGTAAAATCCTAAGGGATGTGTTTTTAATTTTCAAAATTTTGTGAATAAAAATTCAACCTACTTCTAAATCATTAACGTTTAACATCACTTAATATTTTCATTGTGATAAATTACTTGCATGACATATGTGTGTATGTAGTATATATGGCTGCATTTTCCCTGCAGCATAAAAAAAGTACATTCTTCTATAATAAAAATATTATTATTGTTAATACAATGCCAACGGCATTAGAAATAATCACACCCAAGGTATCTGAAGTTGTTTTACTGCTACCTCTTTTAAAATGACAATGAACATGCAGTTTTCATGTAAACATTTACACAATACAGCGTTGTACTGTGTGAGTACACTTATCCAAGACCTCTCTAGAAAGGACAAAACACAAGTAAAAAAGAGATTTAGTTTTATGCATTTTTCAGTGTATTTCTACTATTGTAACATGTAGTCCATAGAATATAGGACCATTTGAATTATTTACATAGGAAAAACTTCCTTCTGGTCCACAAACATATGCCATCTTCCTCCAGATTTACTACTGATTTGGATGCGCAGTAGGCAAAGCCATAGTAAGTCCAATCCAAAGTACTTAAGGGTGTTAAAAAATTACATTGTTCCTAAAACAATGTTTTTAATGCACACTAAAAAGACCCACAATGACATTTTTCAAAAGCACCTAATTGTTTGTCCCCTAGATCCAGTTGTTGAAAAGTATGTAGACACCTAACTCCTATTCATTATAATGAGAGTTAGGCACCTAATCTAATTCAAATGGTCCTATACGCTATGGACTACATGTTACAATAGTAGAAATACACTGAAAAATGCATAAACTAAATCTCTTTTTTACTTGTGTTTTGTCCTTTCTAGAGAGGTCTTTGAGGAGACTACTGATTTTCAGTGAGAGTTGGGCACCTAACTTGCTTAGGCGCCTTTGCAAATCCCACCCACAGTGATTAAAATCTTCTTCCTAAAGTTGACTGA